GCAGACCATCAAAGACTTCTTCAGTCCACACCCCTATCTGGGTTGGGTGACACAAAGCCAGCACAGCCGTGTGGCAACTCAGATGTTTGACGACTCTATATATTTCCTTGGAATCCATCCTGTCTGGCTTGAATGAGCAGGACATAGCCCCCTCTTCCAGCGCCAACTTCCTCCGCCATAGCAGCCCCGCCTTTTGCATGCACCCGGCACATTAATCCGGCCGGGTTCAGTCGGCATCTCTTGCCCTCTGCTGCGTCCGCCTACCTAGCTCGTCGGGGTTCCCTGGCCCGCTGCCTACTTGCTTCGCCTCACTGTGTCATTGCGCTCATCCCCGCAGCACTCCGCTCCTCCCTGCTGCACATGCACCCGGCGCCCTCGTTTGTCCCGGTTCATTCATCTTCCTCCCCCTTTCTCAATTCGCGCTACCCGTTCCTTACTGCGCCATTTAGCGTCCGCCGCCCGTTACTTTGCTCACTCCCTCTCTGACTTCGGTATGCCGCGCGGCTAGACAGCATCCACTTCTCAAAACAGTCAACTGTCGGCCCCGCCTCCAATTTATGCGTGTCACCCGCGAGCAGGGACCACGCTGATCTTCTCTGTATCGTTCTAATTTTAACAGATGTCCCGAAGGACTCAGGCCGCTGGGCCACACCGCCTTCCTACTTCGCACTACTGCACCCCTGACCCTGTCTACTCCTACAACACCCGTCAATCCACTGTATTATCGCTCTCCTCACAACTGTGCAGCACCGTCCGGCCCGTCCTGCCGTCCACTCTTACTCCCACATGGACCTGGCGAGGCCCACGTCTGGGTTCTTTCCCCCCTCCTGCGTACCCTCCTTGCGCAGAGGCCCTGTTAATCTCTCCTACACCGTCCCGATGTTAACGAATGTACCGAGGGACTTTCTCCCGACCATGCTCCGCGACACTTTCAGAGCCCGGCAGGCCCATCCAATCCTAGAGTTCGGTTCTACTCGTCAAGCCCCAGCATCTAGGTCGGACCACGGGTCCGTGCTCCAACAATTCCCGTGTGTACCCCCTGAGCTAGGCTTTTGGGTATTAATTATACCCACGGTACCACGTCCCAAGGTGAAACGGGGCGCGGTCAAGAAAGGTTTGAATTTAAAAAAACAGTTAAAAAGGATATATATATATATATTAAAAAAAACTACCAATCCGGCGAAAACACACAAACGGTTTATAATTGCACTTCAGACAATCCCGTGAATTGCAGCCCACTCCGCGCGACCCTATATCAACCCCGACGTCGCGCCCCGAGACCGGACGCGAGTAAAGGGATAAAAACTAAAACAAAAATAACAAGAAATACATATAAAAAGTTATTAAAGAAACAGAGCGAAAAAAGGGAGGTTCCCATGGATCGGACCCGCCACCACACCCGCTAACAAAACCGAGGGGGATGGTCCTTCAGGGCCCTCAACCCCTCAGGTTTCGCTCCACGCTGCTCCGCTGCTATTACGCCGACGCCCGCTAGCCTCAATCCCCGAACCTTCGTAGTGTCAACCCAATGTTGTAACCTATAGGGCTAAGCCCAAGCCTGGTACTAGTGGACTCGGATCTCCTAATGAAGAGGTAGCGACGACTTTTGGGTCCAGGGAAGCACCCTATGCCACTTCCCAGCCCACACTCGCACAGAAGACCACCCAAGACTCACGTCGGCCTACTGGCCTCGCCGCGGCTACCCGTCCTTAGCCAAATCCATCAGATCCCATCATCTGGATTCCGCGTAAGTCCATACGGGAGCACCGAACCGTTCACCGTACCACGCGGAACTAGAGAAAAAAGCGTCCATAGGTTAGTCAGTTTAGTCAAGATAAACAACTGTTATAATGAAGCACGTCGACCGGAATCCACGCCGCGTCTTCTATTGCGATCAAACCTGCGCGCCCACACACTCTCTAATCCTAGATGTTAACGCCGAATCTTTGGTCCGCAATTCCATGCGACTCGCGGGGTCTTCCCATTAATTATGAATCGACTCATTTCTCTGTCAACTGCAAAAACCCAGTGCGAGTACCCTTGTAAGGGTATCCGTACCGACAGCTTACTAGACCATAACAAGCGACGGGAAAATCGAAAGACTATCAGATTACCCAAAATGCTGACGAAAATAGGGACTAATCCGATTAGCCGACAAACACAGGGTAGAGGCCTCCATCAAACTATGCCTCCACAACTATATGCTGCCAGGTTTCTAACCCGGGCCCTCACCGCCCAGGCATTAGGACGCTGACAGCATAAGTTTCAGAGACCCTCCCAATCGTCCTCTCCCCGGTCCTAGACAACCTTCGGCTTCTCGTTGGGTGTCCCTAGCCCTGGCCAAACTAGGGACGCGGGCCCTAACCGAGACCTTTGAAGGCACGCTCGCCTTCCTTTCCAAGAAGTTCCTCACAATCAAATACACATATGTATATATACATAATCTCCACTCGGCTCTTTCTGCAGTCTAGTACAAAAAGGTCAGATCTGCATCTTGGCCCATCATAGCCTGGTTGATCAGACCAGAACTACGGCCCACCACATTGTTATCTAGCAGCAGTACCCTCGCTGGTTGCGCAGCGATGAGCTTTCCCCTGATAACCATCCAATCAGGGCTTCCAAACAAGACTTGGCTCTTACCCCGCGAAGCAATTTCTCTGGGGCGGGCAACTCCCCATAAACTCGTACTCCGCGGTCCCGCAGCCAGGTTGCGCCGGCTAGCAGCCATCCACTGGGGTTGCGCCCTAGTGGCGCTAAACTTCTTTTTGGCTAGCTTGGCCTTTCTTCAATATGTCTCAGAATTAGCACAAGTGGTTAAACGAGACGTCTCAAAACAAAAATCACGGGCCTACTGCGAGGTTACGAAGGGGCCTGAAGGCATTTTTCAGCTCTTCCACAAAAGGCGTGACATCCTTCGCACAATCACAAACATAATTACCACTAAGTCCACAAGGTCGTGACCCCTGACTTGATCAGAGCCAACAGCCACCCATCCTGAGACATCTCTCGCCCTGTACCCCATGCAACCTTCTCAAATACTTCAAGCAAACGTGGTCCTTTTCATCAGACTTTATCACTCATCAGACAACTTACCATGTTATTAATCAGTCCACCCACCTTTGGGGGTGAGTCTTCCAATAGCCCAAAACCACCCCCTTTTCCAAAAATCTAAAGGGATTTCACCACAAAACAAATTACCCCCTCTTTCAAAAATCACGAGGGGTCTCATCATAAAGCCAAATATCCCCCTTTTTCCAAAATCTAAGGGGGTCTCATTATGGAACAACCATCACTGAGGGACCATTTTAAGGGTCCTTGTCACAACTTAAGCAATCAACATTCAGCATGATAAAGCATTCGGGTCTCAAAGATCCACAAATCCATTTGGATCGTTACGATCATTCACAAACAGACTGCACTCCCTCTTCTTATACTCTGCCCTATCCCCTACCCGTAAGCAGGCCGCACGAGTATACCGAAGAGTAGACAGTTTCACATAACTCACATCCATTAACATGAGATGCATCCTGGACATCTCTCACACAAAACCATAATCCATCAAAGTAAGAACCACACATGTGAGTGTGAGAGTGATCGTCATACACAAAGAATAGTTTTAGGAAGAAAAATTCCGATTTAATATACACTCAGAGATAAAAATGCCCCGCACGCAAATGTGTCCAAGTCATAGCTCACTCGTCTCAAACAAATCCAACTCACACTAGTACTACCCTCAGAATACATGTTGGGTTTGTCTCTCAAAGATCAGGGTGTAGACCACCTAGATATGTACACGCCCCATCTATCACGTCCTAGTCCTCAAGATGACAAGCTCAGTAGAAATCCAAATCCAAACCATCTATCAGATGCAAGTGAACATCTAAGCCTAAAGGATGTCATGTAATCCTAAGCTCAGGTCTTATATACAACAAACCAATCATATAGGTAAATCAACCCTACGCACTCATCTCTTCCTGGTTTTGCCTATACAACTGAGCCCTACCCCCATCAGCCGATCTCTCCACCCTCATGCCCTGTCTATCATACATCCTGCCATCCTCCTCTGTAACTTTCCCTTCAGCCTTGTCCTTTAGGAATTTAGGACATTGCAAGGTTCGATGACCCTCCTTCGTGCAGAAGAAGCAGGATGTATCAAACCACTTTCTGGATTTCTTCTTCCCCCATTGAGATCCTGACGATGATGGCGCTTCGCTGGCCTCCCTGCTCAGCTCATGACTCTAAGGCATATCCAACGGCTCCCCTCCTGTCTCCAACCCCTGGGTACTCGGCCCTGGTCGAACCCCAATCCCCTCTGGCCCAGACTCAGGCGTGTCCAATCTCTGGGGCCTGCCCTCAATGGCACCCTCTGTCTCAATCCCCATCTCTCTCTCAAGAGACTCCTCTATCCTCTGTTCAGGCGAAAACAAACTCGCCTCCTCCTGCATTGATGCACTGCCTCAAGGAGCACGTTCATGGACCCTTCTGCTGAGCCTTGAGTGGGCTCACTGCTAGATGGTGGTAACCCCTCCTGAACTGCCAAAGGTATTACTGGGTCCGCCGCTACTATAGGTAGCGTCGCGAGCTCAGTAGGGGCTCTGAACTCGAAGGCCTCTCTCTCTGTCTCCCTCTGGGCTCTCGCCTCCTCTGGTTTCATGATAACTCTCCTCATAGGTGGCTCCTGGCGGGGCTCCGTTGTAGATGGTTGTCCTGGCAAACCATGTCCCGACTGCCTTTGCTCTCCCTGCCGGCTACTCTCAGCCTTGTCCTCTCTCCCTCGACGCTGCTGCCTCAAGTCCTCGATAATGGCAGCCTGACTAGCTACCAGAGCCCTGAGCTCCTGGATCTCTACTTCTATCGGCTCCAAACGTAACCCATGGCCCTCTTCCTTCACCTTCTTCCCTGCCAGATTGCTTTCCACCATCAGATACCAATCGAAACTGGTCTTAAGTTTGCTAAGAACCTGATCTTGCGATCACGCCTCTCTTCTGCTTTCCTTGCCACCTCGAATCCAGCTTTTGTTGGGGAAGGAAACCCCTCTCCCCTTTGCTCTCAGAAGTCTCTCCACATCTATGGGATTTCAGAGGCCTTAGCTGGCGCGCTGGGTGGCTAATCCGGGAGTGCCCCTGCTGCCTCCAATCTCTGTCTTTCCTGCTGCTGCTCCGGAAGTGCCCCCGCTGCCTCCAACCTCTGCCTCTCCTGCCATATCTCTTCTATTCTCCTGCTTCTTCTCGCCCTTTTTTCTTCAGCTGTTTCGCCAGCTGGTGCCCTCTTCCTCGTGCGATGGTCGACCCTCTTCGGGATCTCTGTCTCCACCTCCTTCTCAGGCTGGCACGGCTCCTAGCGCAACTCTGTAGGTGTTGGCTCCTCCAGGTCTGGGTGCTCCAGGGCATGAGCTGATAGGTGCCTGTCAATCAAGGCCAAGGCTTCTCTCCTTATAGTTGCAGTCTCTCTCCTCCTTTCTGTTCTTCTCTCTGACAAAGGAGTCTTTTCTGATGAAGGCAATGGGGCCTCCTCTCTCTGCAATCTCTCTTCTGCCTGACGAATGCTCCCTGGTGTATCCCCAAGCCTCAATCCCACCGCTGGCGTCCGAGGGGGTGTATCCTCTCCAACCTCTATCACTTCCTTCCCTGCACGTCTCCCCTCATTGCCCAGCCTCCTCTCTCCCTGAATGTCCCGGGCCTCCTCTTGTGGTACCTCCTCTCGTGGCACCTCCTCTGCCTGTCCTCCACGCTCCTCGCCTTGAGGCGACGTTCCCCATCGAGAGACGTCCAGGTGCGCCTCCAACTCTCTCAGCGGCCCCTCAGATGCTGGCGCCTCCTCCTGTGTACGCACTGGCGACCTCCTCAATCCACCCTCGGTAAAATGATGGAACTCCACCGGTCCCAGCCCACACTCAGGATACGCCCCTCGCTCCTCAACCTCAGGCTCCGACTCCTCTTCTCTCCTGGCTAGGGCCTTCTGTCCCCCTCGAGATGGCCTTGCCTCACTGGGCCCAGGGTCCCTCTGCCTCCTGCTCCTCTGGCGCCTCTCAACTCGGGGCCGAGGCGACTCTGGCTGTCGAAAGGCCTCCCTCAAGTGTGCCCTGCAGCTCTCCCAATCCCGAGTCATATCTCTGATCTGCCCAGCCAGTGGCCTCTCCGCCTTTCTAGTCCAGAGGGGTAGCGCCCTCGCCCAGTCATCTCTCGGTGTACCCTGCCCCAATATGAGTCACTCGAAGGGGGGATAAAGTCCGCCGCATTTCCGATCTCTAGGCGAATCGGCCTGCCATCAGGTCCCACAGGCGAGGGTCGTAGCTTCAGCATCCTCATCTCAACCTCCGGCCTCGTCGTCGCCTCCCTACGGATCCGGGCAATGGGCTTCTCGAACCTGCCGGCTCCCCTCAATCTCTCAATCGCCTGGGCCACGGTCCAGCCCATACGCCTTGCATGCTCCCAGAAACTGTCCAGGAATAGCTCGATGTCCCCATCATCGTACACCGGAGTACTCTCTCGATGGCGAGGCCCATGCCGCTCATATCCTCCTGATGCCCCCAACGGCCTTCGTGGCGGCCGTGTCCCCTTCCCTCCTCTTGGCATGACTGTCTTCGTAAAGTCAGACCTGCACAACAGGCGAAGGAGACAACAAACACACATTGGGGTAAGCAAACAGGTGATAATCAAAGCAAGCTCAGACCAGACCATACTCATGCAGCATGCAACCTATCGGACCTACACATCCTATCGCTTTTATTATAGAGGAAGTCAGATCATTTCTCTAATCTCTTCTCTTGCCACAAATTTCTTCAGCCGCGTCCCAGATACCCTGTCCTTCCATTCAGTCTCATTCAACTCTTCAATTTGGTATGCTCCAAAATCTCCACACCGCACAATTCGGTAGGGACCTAACCACCTCTTATCGAGCTTCCTGGACCATTGCTTCTCCAACGATGAATCGTACAAGAGTACGACGTCCCCAACTGCCAAGGGTGCTTTCCTCACTCGCGCAGACTGGTCCCAGCGAGCCTTATCATTCATACGGCTTCTCTCCACTTGATTGGATGCCTCCTGGATCCTGTCCTCTATCGCCCCCACCTGCCGCGCCCGAATATCGAGTAACTCTTCAAAAGACAAGTTGACTTCCAGATCCTAACGCCTCTAGGTCTTAAGAAAACTCTCGATTGGGAAGGTGGCATGCCTTCCATAACACAACGTCGTCGGTGCGTACTTGATGGATTTTTTCGCTGTAATATTCTCGACAAAGAATGTCGCCCTTAGGTACCTTGGCCATTGATTAGGCCTACCTTTGGTCCACTTAGCCAGGAGGTTCGTAATGGTACTATGCCCTCTCTCCACCGGAGCATTTGCCTGGGGGTGCGCGGACGTGGTGTAGTTAGCTACTACACCATACCTTGATAGCAGCTCTTGCACCTCCTGGCAGGTAAACTTTGATCCCCTATCCATTACGAACTCCCTGACGAAAGGATAACGCAGGTAGTACTCCTCGATGCAGCTAACCAAGACTGGCCCAGTCTTCGTATGAATGGCACGTCCGTCTACGAAGCCAGACAGGTTATCGTGCGCATCGAAGATGTAGTTATAGGCCTGATCCCCAAGCGGCATGAAAAGTAGATCGAGATGCACTACAACCCCCACCTCTCGCTCCAACCTTGGATGTAACGACTCTCCTAGCCTCAAACGGGATCTCTCCTGGCAGGGCACGCAAGATCGGCAAAACTTCCCAATCATGTTCATCATTCCATCCCAGTAGTACAACTCACTTATTTTGGCATATGTGGCTTGTACCCCTCGATGCCCTCCTGCAATGCCATCATGAAGTGTTGTTATGATGTCAATCTGACGATTCCTACCGCAGACGACTCTCATGGGATTCCTCACTTCTCTCCTTACGAAAAGATGGCCATCTCGCACCAAGTAGCACTGCATCATTCTCTGAGCCCTATCGCTCGCATCTCTAAGCCGCACTTCGCATGACAGAAGGAGTCCCAACTCCAGGTAGATCCCTTCATACTCCTCTGCACGAAAGACCTCTTTGATCTCACCCTCTTCAAACTCGTCGTCCTGGCTCTCGGGCACCTCGTCCTCATTCCCCGTCGGATTCAACGAGCCTGCTTGATCGAGGTTTTTCTGCAGTAGTGTGTTGACGAGGAGATACATCCCCCCCATCAGTTCCTCATGCCTTTCTACCTGGCCTGACCCTTCGTCTATTGCCCTCACATCTTCCACTAGACTATGCGATCCAGCCAATGCCAACTTCATCATCCACTGGACATCTTTAGCACCCCAGGGATCTTCTCCTCAAAAGGCTTAAGGATTAGTTCTGCCTTCCGTTCATACCCGCTCGGCGCTTGCCAGATAGGATGGCCCACACAACTGGGCACTCGCGGCGACCACTTGTTAATGTGGAGACGAACATCTTCCTCTTGATCCAAAAATCCATCAACTGGGGGCGTATTCTCCACCGCCTCTCCTTCTTGACTATCCCAGTTGATACGACGCAGCCCGTCCGCCCGGTTCTTGCTTTCAGGGATTCGTTCCAACTCGAAATTAAACATCCAGATGTACGTCAACCACCTGGCAACTGTTGGATCCGATGGAACATAATTCCTTAGAGAGTATGCCAGGGCAGTTAGGTCCACTCTCAATATAAATCTCCTGCCGAAGATGTAGTTTCGGAAGATTCACAGACAGTGGAGGACGACAAGGGTCTCACTATTGAACTGAGAATAGTTCCTCTCGGTCGTACAGAGAGTCCGACTCTCAAATCTCAAAGGTCTTTCCTTTTCCTTCGTGTCTGTATGGATTGAAACTCCACCTAAGGCAGTTGCTCCCGCATCCATTTCAACAATGAAGGGTCTCGTTTCCGTGACATCATAATCTGGTGCCCCCAACACCAAACCCCCTTCTCGGAACTCTTCCTTTATTCTGACCACCAACTCTTCCTGCTCTTTGCCCCAAACCCACTTCTGATCGTGACGAACTAACTTTCTCAGGTGCTCAGTCTTAGCGGCAAAGTTCTTGACGAAGGCCCTCCAAAATCCTCACGTCCCAAGGAAGCTCCTGACATCAGTTATTGAGTGGAATGGAACTGGTCACTCAGTGATCTTGTCTGTCTTCTTCACATCCAGTCGTCGACCCTTCTCACTGCAAACGAACCCCAAGATAGTAGCTTCCCTCATGCAGTGTCTGGACTTGGCCCCGCTTGTCGTGAGGTTATGCTCCTCGAGCAGGCTCAGGATTTTCTCGAGGTCCTGGATATACTTTCAGACAAAACGTCTTACCCCCGGCAAAACCTCGTCTTTCTCCTTCACTGCCGGTCCTTTCACTACCAAATCATCAATATATGGTTGAGTGATATGTGGGCTGACTAACTGCATAACCCGAATCATGGCCCGTTAGACCATCGCTACCGCATTGGTCCATCCTTGAGGAGCCACATTCATGTGGATTAGTCCTCGAGGCGTATGCATAGCTGTCACTGGCCTATCTAGCGGATAGACCAGAAACTGGTCATATCATGAGTAAAGGTTTATAAGCGAGATTATAGGCCTTCCAACATAGGATTCTGACAGTGCATCTGCATTCGGCAACCCTCATGCATCCCGCACAGTCACCGCATTTAGCCTTTGTAGATCCTGCACCCACCGTAGCGTCCCGTTAGGCTTGATAAAGCAAAACCACGGTGACGCGTACGGCCCACTCGAGTAGTCGGCGACATGCGTACGTATCTTGCCATCGAGGTAGTCCACCACCTTCTTTTCCTCGTCAGGATTAGGATATCGCGCCCCTCTTAGGTTCCACGGTTCGTGTGGCACGGTGTGAATGCGGATCATAGGTATCTTATTCACATCCAACCTGTCGCGCTCCTCGTCGCTAAATGCATAGGCGCGATGCCTCTTCTTCATTAACTCCACCATCAAGGCTCGTTCCTGAGGCAATAGGAAGTCGGGCTCTCCTATGATCAACTTCTCCTCGTTCCCTTTATTGATACAGCATGGCTCTGCCGAGGCTCTCTCCTTCATCCGTCGTATCAACCCCCGCTCTCGTTCATAGTACACCTCCTCGTCCTCAGTAACGAGGACGGGGACCAAGCGGCACTTCTGGTCTACCGTCTTGTACTGCCTTTGGGAACCCTGCTTGAGCCGCCCCCTAAAAAAGGCCGACTCACAGATTGCGCCTGCGCCAACGCCGGGTTCCTCCTGCCATCCGGAAGACAATACACCAACTCCAATCTCCCTGCCTCGGGACACTCCAGGACCTACTCCCTCAATGCCTGGATGGCATCCGGATCTGCCATCTCATGTGCGGCCACCAAGTCCATGGCCTTCCCCACGTCCGACAAGCTGAGGGAGAATGCTTCAACCCTCTTTTCCTCTTCTGGCTCCGCCCGGAGCCTCCGGCGTTTGCCCTTCGACTCCTCGATTGTGAAAGACCCTGGATTGGGCCGGTTCCTTATGTTTTTTGACCCTGTATTCCTGCAGGTGATGACTTCATAATTTCCGCAGGCAGGGTCACACAAGAGAAGGATCAGAGTCCCATCGTGCTTATTAAATATCACTATCTCTGTCCTGCTCAGAAAGGATCTCCCCAAAAGAATCTCGTGATCCACATCCAGCATGACGAAGAAGCATATGCCGTGACCTTTACTTTCCCAACCTCGATGAACACATTCGAGGCTGTCCCACAGAACACGGCCTTGCAGCTTGCCCCATGTAGAATGCCGCAGTCAGATCGGTCTATATCCAGCCCGAACCTGATGGCATCCGCCTCCCGGATGATCTTCATTTCCGCCCCGTGTCCACCATCGCTGCACACTTGGAGTTTTTCACTACCAAATTCACTGTGCCGCAGGCTCACACTTCCAGTCCATCTTCATACCTGATTCTGCCCACTCCGCCTCCTTGGGCAGGATCGTACCCAGATGGACGTTGGGCACCAAGCGCCACGACAACCTCCCCTTCAGTCCATCGTGGAGCTTTGGGGCCGACGCCAAGATTTCCTTCAAGGTCATAAGATGATTATGCCCCTCTAACAACCTGCCGATCACCTTCTCTACGTCAAACCTTTCTTCCAGTCGGACCACGTATTTCTTCTTTTTAGGCAGCACATCGTGCAAGACCGGCTCAACTTCTTCCCTGTCCCCTCTTTTTTTAGCCCCTTGCTCCGCCCTCTGATCCTCTTCGTGGCGCAGCCTTTTATCTTCTTCCTCCTCGTCGTTATCATCCTCCACTTCCACTACCTCTTTCCTTCCTCCCGGCTCAGGCTCTCTTCGGGGAGGTTCCTTGCTAGCACTGGCCTTGACATGACTTCGCGTTCGCGCTGACTGCGCCAACCGGGCCTGCGGGGTAAGAGGTCCCATCATCATCCCTGTTCGCGGGCCCGACCCCACTACATTTACTCCGGGTCGCCCGAGCGTTGACTCCGGGACAGAGTCATAAAGGAATACCTTGGGGACGTTAGACCTCCATTCCCTTATTTCCTCACAGAGGTCCACCAACTTCTGTTGGTACCTCCCCATCTTGCTCAACAGGTCCTCCATTTTCCCCAGCAAGGCGGGCAGAGGTTCCATCTTTTCTCCCTCTTCCTCGTCGTCCGACTCGATGATTATGGGTTCTTCCCTCTTACCTCCTTCTCGTAGCCTCTGAGTTACTTCCTCATTACTTCCCACTTCCTCTACCCCAATTGGTGGTCCATATTTTTCCTGCCATAACCTGACCGTGGCAAGGGGTGGCGGTCCGGCGGCCGTTCTTCGTTGGGCCTCCGCCCTCACTCCGCCAAGCTTCTTGTCAATAAAATTTCCAAACTGGTCATAGATATTTTCATCCATGGTGGAGGAAATCAGCCCGTTCTTCTCATCCTCTCGCCTTATGTTACAGAACCTTATAGTGTGACCTTGCTGGTCGCAATGTTGGCAGATAGCCGACCTTCAGTCAAAGCGGGCTCTTCCGTACCCCTGACCTCCTTGATCCCCCTGGCCTTGGTTCCCCTGGCCTTGGTTCCCCTGGCCTTGATTCCCCTGGCCTTGGCTATTCCACTGTCCTCCTCGACCTCCGCCATTCCTGCCTCGCCCCCTTCCGCCACCCCTTCCTCCATTGCCTTGATTGTCCTGACCCTAGTTCCCACCTCCAGCCACGTTGTCTTGCGAACTAGGAGCGGGTGATGGAGGCGGGGCCACAGGTTGGGCCTGGGCTGCAGGATAGATAGGGGGCGGCATACTCGTTTGCGGCCCAGCATAGGGTACCACCTGTCCATAAGGCGTCGGCCCTCCCCAAGGCACATAGATGTTGATCACGGGCCATGGTCACTGCCCAAAAGGTGATGCTGGCGCCTGCGAAGGGCCCGCACTACTCGAAGGTGCCGACACACTCGGGGAGGCAGCTACCACTGCTTGGGGCATCTGGCCCTTTCCCGAACCTTGCCCCCCTTGCGTCAAATTGTGTTGCTTACGCTGCACCTTCGAGAGGTGCGGATGCACTGTCTCCTCTTCTTCCCACCCTTCCTGGGCAGCCTCCTCTATCACGACCTCTTTGGCCCTTCCCTGAATTATCGTTGCCACCTTTTTTTTTATCACCGGGTCTAACTTTGTTAATATGTCGGTGATAATCTTTCTTACCCCTGGAGTCTCGGATGCCGTAGCATCCCTCTCCCTTCTCTTCTGTCTTTGTAGCCGTACCTGGTGCTGCTCTACCTGGTTTAAGCTCCCATCTTCCACCCCTTTATCAATGGTGGCCCAGGTGAGCTTAGCACTCCCTCCTCCATGACTTGTCAACTCCTGGGCCTCTGACGCAGTAAGCAGTCCCAAAAAGATAGCACACTGCGTCTCCTCTGAGATCCCGTGGACCTTCCTTGCCCTCTTCTTAAATTCTTGTACAAAGACCCCTATCGTAGTGAAGTTATCTTTGTTCATTGCCTCCAGGTCCGCCGTGGTTAGCAGGCCATCGCCCAGCCTGTACTTCCTTTGCATTCCCTCTTTGAACCTGGCCCAATTACCGTTGGCGTCATTGACCACTCTCTGCACCTCCTTATGGTGCCCATAAAGCACATATCTCATGATCCGCTGAAATTTCACCGCATCCGCTAGCCCCACTAATGTTTGTTCCACCCGATCCAGCCAGTTTGAAACTCTTTCTCCATTGTAGTGAAAGGTGTCGACCTTAGGGACATTGCTTGGGGTCTTCTCATGCCGGTCAATGACCGCAACAAGGGAGCGTCAGGACCTTTCTGGTGCCATCCGATACACCAACGCTCTCCGGCATCTTGACAGACTTTTCTCTTCAAGCTCCCAGTTAGAAGAAAAAACAAGGACACTCACCTCTTCAGCGTCCTATCTCAAAAGGATCTATCATGTATGCCCTCTCTAACTTCCTCATATACTTACCTGACACAAATACGGTCGTCCCTCGTAGCTTTCCTAGCTCAGGTACGTAACAGCACGGACATACACAGTCACTAAGCCTTCCTAACCTATACTTAGTCACTCATTATTTTTCCTACCCTCTCGTCATTCCTTTATGCCTATTCCCATTCAATCTCATACCCGGATGTCGTTCCACCAGGGACAACGATAGGCTTCCGTTATCCCTGGCAACAGCGCCACCTGTCGAGCGCATCGGTCCGGCACCGCACCAGGGCAGCGCGGGACCCTCCCGGCCGCGTCACGCAGGAGTTGGTTTGAATCCTTCGTCGCAAATATACATGTGGAGTTTCCGCAAGCCGCTCCGGCCGAGTGCGCTAGCCATACCTCTCGCGAGCCCCTACGACAGGATAGGGCCTACGTGAGGCACGACTTACCTCCACCTTACGGG